AAATCCGTCTCTTTTGTGTGCTTAATCACTTCATTTGTGTACATTGTGAGCTTGGCAGTGGTCAGTGAAATTCGCCTCGTATTTCGTTGTACGATGATGATTATGATGATGCGTTTTGGTTTAACACAGAGGCCTCGCCATCACCATTCAAGCTTAAAATATCCATATGTTCATTTCCATTTTTGTGTTATGGCCATTTATCATGCAGTTCCCTTATTTCTGTGAATTTCAGGTTTCAATGAATCCCGCAGAATTAGAGTTTCTGGCCGAAGATGAACCTATTACCATCATCCCAAGGTTCAAGATGGATGGAATTCAACTTTTGACCTGTTCCGTAAGCCACTGTTGGGTTGGATTTTTCACCTTGGAGCTACTCGGTAATCATTCCTAATTTCAGAAGAGGGGCTTCTTACTGTGACTGCGAAAATCACCTTGAGCCAGGCTTAGTTCCATTAGTAACCAAAGTGCAAGCTTCCATAATACTTTGCGTATATGGACGCGCTTTGATTGGTCGCATTCTGCCAGCCAATGAGTTATCGTATGTTTCCATACGGAAAAAGCTTGGTGTTGTGATACAGAAGCCTGTCAAAAATCCATCCAATACCCACCCAGTAGTCAATTAATAAATTTCTATAAGCATCCGTATTCGATTTGGAAGGGAACACCCGGAAATCAAAACAGATTTAAACAGCAATCACCGGTTCCATAACCTTAAAGAAAATAATCTGGGAGAGATGGGCGATGGTTAATGAGGTTTGTGGATTCACCACATTTTCTTGGGTACGATCCACACACCCACACCTTCCCGGTTGTGACAATGGTCACCGGCTCGACTGGACATCTAGGTGTATTGGGCACCCTAGACCTTTGGCCCCGTCCAAAGGCCGTATGATCTCATGAACTGGAACCCGGCTCCAAAGGAGTGCGGTTTTCGCACACCGCCCAACTGCTTTGTGAATCAGACTTTGGCTATTCAAAGTCTCCGGTTGTGAATTCCCCAAGAAAATTCACTTAACTTGGCCTGGGAAACTGGGATTCCACCCTCAAACAAATCATGAAACTTGTTCTGCTATAAAGATTATTTTATTGTGATATGTTTGGCTCATAGTCCGGACTCAGACATGTGTGAAAATATAAGATATATTTCCGAGGGGTTAGGAATACCTGGATTCAAAGACCAGAGAGAATGTGCTATGTAGAAAGGAGGCAAGTTCTGAAGCGCACATTTTAAAAACGATTATTGTATTCTTATTTCACGCACGTCTGAATCCAGGCTGTGCAAAACAAATCATAGCACAGTAGTCTTTGTAAAAAAAGAGGAAGTTCCATGATTTGTTTGCGGGGCGGAATACTACCAGGTTGTCCAGGCCAATGGAGAGTGGCGTCGTCGGTAAAGCAATGGATAGAATTAGAGGTTTTTTACAAAAGATCGTTGATAAATAGAAGAGGGTGGGAGAAAGTATGGAATCTTGGGGAATACCGGCGTTCACAGCTAATGGCCGAGGTAGGACCCCATCTACTCGGACGGAGATGGTTTGCTTGTTGAGGAAACTTTGGAGCCATGATCTGAACGTGGGTAACTTCGACAGCAGACCTTCATGCCAAACGCGGTCGAATGCCTTTAAAATGTCGAGCGTGACCATGTGAATTTCTCCGTGGTTATCAAGTGCATTTGGTCAGGAATGTGATGTGAACGTCAGTAGGTCATCCGTAGATCGACAAGGGCGAAATCCATATTGACGGTCATTCAACAAACCTTCGCGCTCGAGAAACGTACGCAGCTGGTTTCAAACACTTTCGACATTACAGATGTGAGAGTAAGTGATGTGTTGGGGTCAGAAGAATCACCGTACTTTGGGATTGGAAAAATAATGGAATTTTTCCATGGAGTAGAGGAAGATTCAAGGTCGAGTGAAAAACAGAAAAGGCCGTGTAGAACAGGGGCTAACGCCGGGGCATATTTTTAGGGCGATAGATGGAATACCGTCCGGATGGGGCGGTTTAAAAACATCCAAACCATGAAGAGTTTGGCGGACCTTTCTGGTTGTTATGATAGGTAGAAAGGAGTGACTGGATGTATAGGAGGAGAGTTGAACAATGGAGTCGGAGGCAAACCGGTAAGCGAAGACCTGCTTTTTCGTGGGGACCACAAACAAGAGTACCAGAGGAATTGCAAATGGGAGGAAAGTTGGAAGGGCAGAAATTACGTGAAACCGCTTTGGCGAGGGACCACAATGTTCGTTTACCGGTGATGGAAGAGACCGAGCGCGCAGCTTGCTGACAAATGAAGCCCTTTTTAGCTCTGTATGGTGAGCGGGTATTTTTTCTGCCTTGCACGGAGCGGTTGCGGGATCCTAGATTGGGTGAGTGGCACCAACAACGGAATGCCGAGTTTTTAAAACATGCAGCATGGTTGCAAACATGATTAAACCACTCAAGGGATCGTGGTTTACCGGGTTTCGAAAAATGTGGAATATAAAGATACATATCTTAAGGAAAAATCCCCATGAAGTTTGAAACAGACGTGGAAGTATCAGATTTAAAACAACAAACCCGAAAGTTACGAAAACTGTCCCCGTTGCCTGAACTGTAATGCCAAAAGGTGCGTCTGGAGTTGGGTGATGAAATGAAGTGAGGCAAATGATTGAGAAAGAAAATGAGACAATGGTCCGATGAGCCTAATGGGGAAAGGGAAGTGAAATAAGGGGGAATGGATGTGATAACGTGGTCAAGGGTGTGGGCGCGGTCGCCAGTACGATCAGGGATGCGTGTGGGGAGGTCCACTAGTTGACTTAGGTTGTTGACCACAGCAAAAGCCTCGGCTTTGCGTTCCATTAACGTAGTGTCTGAGGAATGCTTTAGCTATTCCTTGTTGTGGGCATTGAAATCTCTGGTAATCTTAACTCCGTTGTTAGGATTTGCCGTCATAAGTGTCTCAATGTTGGACGACAGAATATTCAAAATAGAAGGATCGCTGTTGCTCGGGGAGCGGTAAACAGTACAAAAATAGTGGTTGAAAGACGGGAATCGAAGTTTCACCCACATAAGCTGAAATTCACGGTTAGAGAAGTCCAAGTGTGAAATTCGGGAAGAAGCGACAGAACGATGGATACAGGAACAGACACCAGCTTTAGAAAGAAAAGAAGAAGGAGAAAGCAATTAGGGAACTGAAGATGAGTGGTGTCTGACGAGGGAGAGATTTGTGTCTCAGTCAAAAATAAAGCCAAGGGGGAAGAAGATTGGTTAAAGTAGTGTACAGCATTAACATTTTGATTTCAACTACGAATGTTAGTGAGGGCTATAGAAAGTTGCAAGTTCGTAGGTAAAGTGCGCATTCTGTGAGTTGCATAGTTCATTTGTGGTGCGAGATAAGACCGGTAACCCAACCCTGAGACTTGGAATGGTAAACCACATAAGGCCTCAATAGGTTGGGCGTGGTAGTGAACCGGGTTACCTATCACTGCAAAGAATTTGATCACTACTTACCCGATCCGCAACTATTGTTCCGAGTAGCTGATGCGTGCGGCAGGGGCCACATCTTAGCCAACAGTTTCAGTTTGTACAACCATTAACTATGCACCTTCGTGCGACGATTTCCGTTGCTATCTTTTGGCTGTCCATTTGGATGAAGAATAGGAGAAAGACAGGAAAGTTGAAAGTAGAGTCCAACAGAAAGTGGAGAATTTCAGTGGTCTAACGTTGTAACGAAATTGAGAAGATGCACGAACTCCACTGTTTACTACACTCAGCCAAATCACTCAGTGCGTCTAAACATCGGTGACAATCATCCCGAGGTCCCCAGCCAGGGAGCCTAACCTGACCGATGTGACCCAGCCCCTTGTTAGGGATTTCATACCCTCGTGCCAGGTCTTAGGTTGATCATCCTTGGTTTTTTCCACTCACTACCTGCCTCTGCAAAAATCGCTTGCCGTAGTAACCTATTTAGTGGCATGCGTAACACATGCCCTAACCAACGTAACTTATGAAGGTCGACCACTTGTTCCAGTGTGCGACTGCGATTACCTAAAACTCTATACCTAACCTCAGCATTGCTCGTCCGGTTACCCCACCAGGTTCGTGCAATGCTGCATAGACCGTGGTGTTCAAACACAGAGTCTATTTTTATCTTGTTTTCTTAATGGCCAAGTTTCTGCGCCGTATAGCAGAACTAGCCGAAACGCTTTGGCATATACTCGACCCTTCACAAACAACCGACGCCACAGATGTCTCAAGTTAGCAGATGTCAACCGAGCCTTTTGTACGCGAGCGGACACTTCATCCGTGATGCGTCCACCGGATGAGATGTAGCTGCCCAAATAAAACTTATCCACTTGCTCTATTACTTCCCCGGTTAGAGTGAGGCGGGGTGCTTGACCAACCCAGTCTTGTAGTTACATTTTACACTTTGAAGGTGCAAGACGCATACCGAAAATGGCTACACGGGTACTCAAACTATCCAACAACTCGATCGGCAGGTTTAACCAAGCTCTAAAAGTCTCAGCTAGACGACATACTGCATGCAAAAGCAGCTTCTCTTTAATGGGCAAAAATGCTCTAACTCCTGATTCAATAGCTACAAATGAAATTTCACCTTTGGGAATTAATTTATTCCGGGGGTTTATTCACATCTGCTTAACGGCAAGTGAGCTCCTATGAGGAAACTAATCCCCGTGCGCCAACACTGCTGCCTGTAGTCTTCACTTGATTGTGCGAAGACTAATGATATACCCTTTAAAGAAAAGCCTGGTGATGCTGCGTACATTTCTTTTACCAACGTTCATGGTTTTCACACAGCTTTTTTATCCTTTCACTCCTAGTAAAGTTGAAAAATGGAATTTCTATTCCCCCGCTTGCTTTCAGGAGAAATGTGCAGTTTTGACACAGTCACATACTGTGCAAGGTGGCATTTTTGCGTTTTCCATTTTCTACTAGCTATATTTCTTATTTATACCTTAATACACTAAATCTGTTGTCCCCTGATCAACTTATTTACTTTTTGACTGCAACGAGAATCAGGGAACTCAATCGCCAGGGTAATAGTCATATATCTTAAAGCGAATTCAGCTGAAACGAACAAAAGATTTAATTTTTCATAGAAGTTATTTATTCCTGGTTTATGCTATTTCACTTCAATCAACCATGCGCTATCTTGCTCCGGCCTTGGTAGCCAGCTTTTCGTTGCCCGTTCGAGAAACTTATAAGGAGTATTAGTAAAACCCTGATTGGACCATAATGGTATGAACCATCGGCGTGTGCGTGGTCTGTTTAATGCTATCTCTTGTTCCTCTTGTTCACATGTCCCATCATGGACTAAGGTTGGACCCTTCTTTCCGAACGTCCCGATACGTGTTCCACTATGGGTGGCACTGCTCCTTAGACAGCAACAGAAGTGTCGGATTATGCCACCGGATTGGCTGACCGTTGAAAAGCTAAACGAATGTAAAGAAGCAGAAGAGACCGACCCTGGTTGTACAGTTCCGCCACATCGACAGTACACGGAAATAGCCACGTTGTTACTTCAACACGCGGCGGAAGATATACAAAAGTGAGTAATCACTATCTTTATACAAAGCGCTGAGTGTATGCGGACATCACTGATTGTAAACGATACACTGCTTGCATACGGATATATATATATATCCTAGTAGCTCTGTATTGGCTGGTTCGTTGAATGGAACAGTATGATAGATCATTGGCTACCCAAAGGCCCCGGTTGTGGATTCCTCAAGAAAATTCACCTGTCTTGGCCTGAGCAACCTGACAGTATTCAGCCCACATGCACTTCATGGAACGCTTTTCTTTTTTCATAAACATTATTGTACCATGATTTGTTTGGCACACAGCCTGGATTCAGACGTGTGAAAATGTAAACATATTAATGTACATTGGATCAAGTTATTCAGAAGACTTTTATAACTTGTAAAGTTCAGACTAGTCATATTTTGAGAGGTCCCAATCCGGATACAGAATTAAGGTTGATATCATCAAATAGTTAATTCTCTTCGATATTTCAGTAGTTCTGTGATGCGTGTGTAACCTTCACTGCTCACACTTACCCATCGATGTTTCTCTCTTTTCTTTGCCAGTCCAGAGACTATTCGCACAATTGTTCGGGACCTGTGGGATATGCGCGTTGGTAAACTTGTGGCCTCGGTAACAGGTTTTATCTCGAGCGGTGCCTCGACTGCTCGAGTCAGTCAGCTGACAAATTTGGAACTAACAACACTTCGGAACTTCTTGACCAGCTCAATGGATCAATTGACCAGTCTGCGACGGGCGGCTGCAGATACGAGTCAACTTGGACTAAGCTCTTCAAATCTCAGTCGAACTAATCGATCATTTGTAAATAACTGACTGCGTGTTCGGAAACAGTCTTATGCATGTTTCCTTCATTTGAACCATTTTTGAGAGAATTCCATTTGCCTTCTATTTTTGTACCTTATTTTTGAAGATCGTGAAATTTTACCGGCGTTTCACTTTGTTTCTGATCATTTTATTGGGTTGGTGAATTGGTCTGCCCTGTGAGTATAGTCTCCATGTATCTGTCATNCCCCATTTTGACGATTCTACGATCGTTTTTACAAGCAATACCACCAAGGTTGATGATAGACCGATAGCACAAACAGCGGTTGGAGGTGTTGTCGCATGCGTGTTTAGATGCACAAATTACTCGCTGGCCCGACTTACTGCCATGCACAACCTATCGGATCATCACTCTCTTTCCTGACCCAGTTACTCCATCGTGTGTGTGGAGATGGCTACCTCACCTTGTGTAGCACCAAGTGAAAACAACCTCCCCGATTTTTTATCTCCGAAAGTCGCCAACCCATGGGAAGTGATTGTGTTATAATTTAGTGAGCACATCCATATCGAGCAACAATTAGTGCGTGTTTCTGTAATATTTATTTCAAATCGTGAGAATTCGCCGAATTGTTTCGCATATAGCTGGCTTGAAAACGATTTCGAAAGGTAGTGAATGACCTGAGCAAGGATTTTCAAATGACCGCCAAGATAGTTAAATGCATCTTTAAATAGGATCCAATGAGTGTTCCTAGCATTGTGCAGTGAATGGTTAATGATGAATAGGAAGATGATTGGATGCACGGTTTAGTCCCGGTTGCAACGACCGTGTACGTGTTGGAAGTTTGACCGGTTTGGGATTGTTACGCACCAGTTGAATTCGTCACTGTGGCGTTAGTTTCCATTTTCTGCTCCATGATGGAGTTCAGGGTCGGTGAACATGGTCCTGAGGATTCGGTAAACGAACATACTGTGTCAACCTGAGGTGACAAAGGACCCTCGGATGGTGTGTACTCCCCGCGGGATACAGCCTCATTGGTCGACTTAAGCCATTCTTTTACATGGTCTTCCTTGTTCTGAATTTTTACCAGTGCGGCCAAGTTGGTTTGTAGCCGAAATTCCGATAGTCGAACTGACTGTTCCAGTTCAGCAGTAGTCAACGATTCCGGTTCGCAGTCCAGAGCAACAATATCCTGCGTGAATGATAAAAAAACAGCGCACAATGTTCAAACGGTATACAATTGTGCGTAGTCCATTGTAATTTCGTCTCTTCGGATTGAATCATCATTTGGATAGTACAGTTTACACATCATTCATATTGCGCCAAATCTTCAACCGCTGTAAATGTCCACTTGGATTTCTGGTATCAAGAAAACGATTATTGTGCATTGAATACCAACGTCCGGCAAGCGGTATTTTGGTTTACTTTTATACACCCCACCCCTATATAATACAGCCATTAGGCCCAACGGCCGCTGTGTGCATCAAGACAGCCGCCGGGGACTGATTAGTCTCCGGTTATTCGCTTACATCTTGACTAAAGAAAGCCTCGCTGATGTCAAGTTAAGTATGTCTTATGCACCTCGATAGGTGAACAGCCAGATGGCTAAATGGAACCAAGTAAGCGAGTGAAATTACGCCAGAATTGTGATAAGCAAAATCAAAACAAAATTTTCGGAATCGATGAGTTTAGTTCAGAAGCGATGTGTTCTGAGTTACCGAGACATCGAGCAAGATAAGGCACCTTCATGGTGGTTGGTAGGTAGTTGTGCAAGCAAATGTACAGTTAAATGGGGATCGGGTGTAAGAAGAGGACACTTTATAAGATCTGTATATAACGCATGCGAAGGTTTGTTCGTGCTTTCTTGTGGACAACGAGAGGCCTGAGTTTGTATGTTGTGAAAAGTATGAAGTGATAGAAAGTTTCACGGAAATCCCGCTACTTATGGATAAATGTGTTAAACATCTGGAGAGAAACTTAAATTCACTCTTGAGCATCTCTGGGACCCGTACAGCCACAGGGCCAAAATACAAACGAAGGACGGATAAACCTTTCATGAGTTGGAGATAAAATGATTATTCTTGACTTTTCCAAATACAGAAATCACTTGGTCAGACAGGCTTAAATTTCGGCTGATTAATGCACGGAGATAGCTAACATTTACGGGGCGGATAATGGTATAATCTTGATTGCTTACTGTGGAACAGGGTTCTAAGTGGTTTGCGTAAGGGTTCCGCCTGAGGAGTGAAAACAGTATTTCGACGCATTTAGAGGGATTGATAGTTAAGTTATGTTCAGTGGACCACTCAGCAAGGTGAGAAAGGACAAGTTGAAGGGTGGAAGTGACAAGTGCACCAGGGTGAGCTACTCCGACTGCAGCATCTGCGAATTTAACAAGCAGAGAATTTCGCAAAGTAGGCATAAATAAAAGAAAAACGGCGACTGTATCGCACCTTGTACTATGCCTAATGTACAGATTAAATGAGTGGAGGAAAGTCAAGGGTAAAGTATGAACTGTAGACGATTTGTGAGTACCGTAGTTGTGTTATGCAATATTCCACTGGAAGGAAAACATTTAACAACTTAGACCCGTCAATAGGAAAGTGTGGCTATAATCCAAGAAACATATTCTTGCAGCTTATTTCCATCGAGCGCCGATAGAATTGTGGACCAGAGAAGCTAGGGCATGTCTACATAACCGCCCAACTCAGTTCAGAGTAGAAAAAATGTCACGACTTTCGTGGTAAAACATACGGGGAATATGCTGCAAAGTGACATCTGCGGTGCCACTGAACCTTTTCTCTTACTCGACATTCAGTATAAAGACAACCGTGGGTAGAATATTTTACCGACCTCTACTTAATACCCCATGGCGCACCCAGTACAATGTTATCATCGCTTGTGGGATCATAGATAACTGTAATTCATTCATATCATCCCTGTCTCATTCACTAAACTATAAATGATTGCACAGGTGTAATCAGTATGTGAAAAGACGAGACGAGTTGAGCAATGATACAATAACGATAAGAGCCTATGCGATAAAGCTGAGTAGCGAAGGGAGAAGCCGCAAGCAACAGATTGTTGTCATTGACATTGTGGATTGAATGTATTAATCAGCCAAGGAATGACAGAAAAATATGATTTCTGTTAGCTACTGAATAGGTTCGAATTTGATCTTGTTATTCAGGTGAAATACTGTTAATTCTTTCACCATTGTTAAGTATCTTGTCAAGTGTGCATTTCAATGTCAAATATACCTAAGCAACCGCATTTGATCCAAAGGAATCGGCTTTATTCGAGTGAAACTCGGCCTCAATGGAATTTGCTCATTGGGTTACTGAGGGCTTAGACTGCCTCCAATCATTCTCACATTCACGTCTGGGCATGGTGACAGATTTATTGATCCATCTTGACGTGATTTGCTTCCCTACCGGACCGACAGAGGTCAATTAATTCCGGGTTCGTTCATTCGTATCTATGACGCACACTCGATCAACGGTCACGAACATAACGTTCCCGGGTGGAACGGGTGGGGGGGGGCGGAGTGAAAACGGCCCACCGAAAGACTCATCCTCGCTCGGTAACTCACTCAAAAAGTACTTTTGTTTGTTCACGGGTAAGTGAGTTCATTCGGAGTGGATGGGGTTTAGACAAACCCGGTCTAATCGGTGCTATTTGACGGCCGAAACACCAAACATCTTGTGGGATTCCCAAAGGAGTGCGATTGATTGGATTCACTTGAGGCTGAAAAGGTTTAGTGTGGAACGAGATCGACGGTGTCTGTTTTTGTAAGAAGCGTCACTGTCCAACTGTAATCCATTGTTTCATTTGTATCCTTGGTGTGTTGCTTTATTTCGGGGGCTCTTTCTTACACGGCCCTCACTCCAATTCTGATTCTTATGAAGTCTTTTTGAAACGATATGCTCTTTGGAAATCTTGAATCTATATCAATATTCAAGGTGGGAACTGACCCCATATTCATTGGTAATCAACTTTCCGTGCAGGGTGTGAAAAATTGAATGTGTCATGGCCTTCTGTATCACTTGTTATACAGATTTATATTGTGGTATAACAAACTTGCTTAAATAAT